GTTATATTTATTACAAATTTTCCATTTCCCGGGAACAGAAAACGTATGGGAAATGTTTATAATAATTAAAATATTTTACTCCCAAAAAACAAAAACGATAGGTTGAAATGCCAATTATGCAATTCAATTTAATTTATCTAGTTATACATTCTGTGTGAAGTTATAAAGAATAGAATTGTCCTATTTGTAATATTTCCATCGTAACCAGCCTACTTTCATTACAATTCTCATTTACAAATTGATACATTTTATTTGAACATAAAAATAAAAATAGCCATTTTTTGGATGTAAAAGCTTAGTATTTACTTAACTGCAGATGCATTCAAAGGGAAAATCACTAATGCATTGTAATTAGCATTTTCCTATAGAAAAGTGTAGATTCACTCTAATTATGTATACATTAAATGATTAATTAAATGCCAAATGCTGGTACAAATGATATAAAGCCATATTTTGTATTGGAATTAATCGTATTTATACAGGATTTGGGCCATCAATAACCAATAATTTTCAATTATATGACTCCAGTTCAAAACGGTTTCTATTATTTTCGTAATACTAGTTTTTTTTTCTGATCCATACAAAATTTCTTATACAACAATATCTCGCATAGTTATTTAAAACCGGACTATTCGAGGATTTAGTTTACCGATCTGTACTGAATCTAGACAAATCGAAGCCGAAATGGGGCATTGCCTAATGGGGCATTAATATAATTTTCTAGGAAATGTCCAGGGAAGAGGAAATATCCTTTAATTTGAAAATTTCCGTTATTCTTATTACAAATTTCCCGGGAAAAATTCTATGTTGAAAAAAAAAATAATATTACATATTAAAATAAACAAATAATCAATACTGGTAGTATACTAAAATCTTTAAAAAAACGTATACAAAAAAAAAACAATATTATCTTCATAATTCACTAGTCATTGAATTTATTTAGTTTTTAATTAGTTTTAGACAAATATTTACTTGATTGTAATTTTAAATTTCCCGCAAAATGTGAGAAGTCTGTATAACGCAATGTTTATTTTGCTTTACAAAATCAATTGCATAGAAACATCGCTCCCTACAAAGTGGCCTTTAGGCATTGGCCTGTTGTACAGAGTGCATTAGTGTATCTCTCTTTCGCTCAATTCGTATTAAATGGACAGGAAGATCTCGGTCTATTCATCTTTGTCTCGTACGTTTAACTAACGTTATTAGAACCATTTGTTACAAAAACAAAACAAAATATATTACTTGTTCAAATAGTATTTACTTTAACAATTATTATTATTTAACCCGTAAGTACTGCGGATGGGTCAAAGTGACCCACTTGATATTTGTTGTAGCTGTTCTAGTATTTTCTTTTCAGTAGTAATAAATCAGTCGCGGCGTTAGGTTCTTATTATACTATAAAGTATATTTCGGGTCAAAGTGATTCGTCTATAGGAAATACGTTAAAAAAAATGTTTAGACTGTTTTGAGTAATAAAATCATGATGCTAAATCCATTAAATAATAAGAATTAATCAGTGTTTGTTGTAAAAATTAATAATTTTATAATAGGGTCATTTTGACCCAAAGGTAGTACTTCTGTTTTATTTATTTGTATAATTGACATAATTCGCAAAACANTTTTTATTTTAAAGTTAGAACTTTGATTAAAATAATTTATTAAAAATAAATGTGTATTAGACGTTAATAGTAAGTTTTTTTTTTCACAAAATATACTTAATATCCGTAACCGAACAATGTAAAACTAATCGGGATGCGATTATGTAACAATATCAAAGATACAAAAGCAGCACGGATATCGATATCATATTACCATATTATTCATCTCCTTTATATAAAATCAAACACAAAAGATTAATAGTATTTATTATGTAAATTGAAATAGGAAACTCGACTATAATCATGTTATATAATCATTTGCAACGATAAATTTGAAAACGCCAATGTTATATTTATATGCTAATTATAAGTAAATATACATTGAATATATACGTCATGATTTATGTAATATTACACCAATTACTGATATTAATTTAATTATATAATTGATTAATTTTTGTAGTGGTGTATTTCATTTTATATAAGCATGTCCAAACTAATTGTCTTCACTTTGTATGTATTAGATATTGATTTTTAGAAATATATACGAATGAGAACGTTTTCGAGGATAATAATTTTATATTCATAAATATCGTAAACGGAAAAGTTTGTTCAGTTATAACATGGTATACTTTATATATTTATAGTAAAACTTATGACGTTTGAGAATCATAAATATGAAAATGTGTCTCCAATTATTTATGTAATTTTATGTTCGTTGCAATAAATTTTGTTATTTGTTTATGAAAATACAGCAGCATCTGTAATATTCCAATCAATATATAGCAATATTCTGCACAGTGAGGCTTCAATTAATCCTGATTTACTACAGTCCGGTTTTATTTTTTTTAATCTAACTTATGTTTAAAAAATTCGTGTTTTATTTACTAATAATTAGTTATAGCCACTAGAGAAAGAAAAAAAAACGTACTTAATTAATCTTTCAACTAGGATTATCTTAGTTTAGTTTTATGTCTATGTCTAAGTAACAAAGCTGATGATGATTCTAATCCATATATAAAAATCTAAAATATATAAAGTCATGATCATCTATGATTTCTCTTCTTTACTCATATTCTTCATGTGCACTAGGGTTGTTGAAATTTCCCGGGAATTTTACTACAAAACCATATTTTATAACAAAAATTAAAATACATTTCATATATTATTATGTTTCTTTTATATCTATTTAATAAATATTTAGTTTGCTATTTGTTATATTTCCATTTTTTATAATTCTTTTTATTTTTGTTAAAAAATACCAGTTTATGTCTTTAGTCCCGAGAATTCCCGGGAATGGGTTAATAAATAAAAAAAAATGTCAAGCAACTCTGATGTGCACGAATTCCTGTCCGATGAATAGCAATAATTATGATTGAAAAGCAAAAAGAAAACCCAAAGCCTGGTGCTGCGAAGCTCGTAGCTACGATGATTTGATTCGATCTTCCTGCTTGCTGCACGTGTCCCCGTCGTTGCTGCTAATTTTGATAGGGAAAAGGTGAAAAAAGCACAGCTATTTCTGTTTATTTGCTCAATCATAATAATAAGAATAAGAAACAACAAGAACAATAATAATCATCATTCAGAAAATAAAAACAAAATATATGGACATAAGCTGTTAGTAAGTGTTTTTTGTAAGTTGCTTTTGTTATAACTTCATTCGTGCATTCTATTTGTGTCTGTGTATCTATATATGTTTGTATGTGTGTATATATGTGTGTGTTATGTGACAATATAATAAGACAATGAACGGGTGTCGTGCAGATCTGCCGCTGTGGTTGCCATTACGTAATTTGGCGCCCGGTTGCGTGGAGTTTGCGTTTCCTGCTGTGCTGTGCGCCCTTTTGGCTCCGACGAATTTAAATGTTCTCGTCTTTTGTTACAGGGTTCCCCCTCTTTCCGCACAATACTCACCATCGTATAATCAAGCGGTTTTATGCCGGTCGACGATTTAGGACGCTATTAGTTTAAGGATGTTTATTTCTCCTATTTAACTTAAAAGGGTGAAGCACTTCGATGTGTTAAGGAAAACGACAAGAGAGAAGACAAGTGAGAGAAATAAATAGAAGAGGAAAATGCGTAAGTGGCAAACAATTTTTTTTGTATTAATTTTGTCCCATTTTGTCCTTTGCAGCATGTCTCAAAAAAAAAATTTAAAAAAAAACGTCTCCATGAGTTATCGTTAACAGCAAAAGATCATAACGATCTTGTCAATGAACGACAAAAAAATCACGTTGATTGATAACCAATTTTACTGTTACGATAATTTATCTATCTATATAATTACACGTAAGTGCGCTGATCTTCTGCGTCTTCTCCATCTTCATATTATTTGTTGTTTTCTTTTCGCGATATTTTTTTTGCGCGTTAATTTACGTGATTAATGGAAGGAAATATTCGTTCGCGCATCATCCCCAATCGCTCAATCAAATTACATAATCGCCCCCCATCTCCGAGAATATGAATAATAAACTTTGGTTTTTTTTTTAGAAACTTCGGTAATAACTGCTTAAATCGATGGCAGATCTATTTGGTCCTCTTGGCAGGTATAACTAAGAACACGACAGTTTTGCATTTATATCGCTAACTGAAATATATCCAAAACATTAGTATCAGAAAAAAATATATATATAGAGAGAAAACGAAATACAGGTAAGGAAACATTCGCATAGCATATACATAATAAGACACAGAGCGACATCGATTTAAAGCTGTATTTTGCAATCCATCTTCCAATATACTCATATACATTATATTATTCTCATTTTAACAACGACAACATCATCCCTTCATTTTTTTTAAATTTATTTATATTTTTTTCAGTGAAGATTTCAAATTAGGTTAGGTTGTAGTAATTCTATTGATTTCGTCGCAATACCGATGGTATTTGTAATTCGTCAATAACGCGACAATTTTCGTAGCCAATTGGATTTTGTAATTTTGGTTCGCATTATAAATTAGAATTAGAAATAATAATAAAAAAAAAAAGAATTTCAATCTAAGGTTTTTTTTCGGTTAGCAATTGAACCTACTATGGTTTTCTTGTTTTGTTAGTTAAACTGCTTCAGTAGGTTTCATCTACTTTATTAATATTATTACGAAGCTGAAGATGTTTAATTCTTGCTTATTAACTAATGAACTACTCTAATTATTTATATACATACTTATATTTTTTTTGTATATAGGTGTGTATATAATAAATCTACATATGAATCTAAATATGCGTTATATGAAATAGTCTAGTATAGGCGTGCAAATTAGGCGTGCCTCCAATACCACTTGATTTAATAATCGGAGACACATACATCAAATTTGAGATCCGAAATTTACGTTTCGTTAACGGGGATGTCGTTGACATGAATGATAGATGTGTACCATGCAGGTTTGGGGATTGGTACTTACTTGGTTCATGTAGGACCGAACGAACTCCATGGACTGTTCCAGGGCATACGTGTCACTGCTGCAAGAATCTATGATGAGGGCACCCAGGGTGATGTTCGGCAGCAGGTCGGGGCTTTTGTTGATCTCGTCGATGGCGTAGAGCATCGCCTCCAGACGCTGCACACCTTTCTCTTCCTTGACGGCACCGCATGGGGAATGTGGTTTCCCGCTGACTTGCTCGTGCATGGGGAAGATGCCACCCAGGATAATGTCCCCATTGATCCTCAAGAGCTTCCTCTCGGGCAACGTCTCCAGGTCCTTATCTGGTTGCGAGAGGACTGATGCTGCCAGAAGCAACATCAGCGGTGGCACCAACGCCACCGGCCTCATGATGGCTTTCCCAATAGATAGGTCTTAAGATTATCAATTACCTAACCAATGAATTGTCTCTTGGCCGACGGTGCAAAACACTTTGGTGGCCTAAGCCTTCTCCACGTACGCAAAGGACTTCAATCCATTGTGGTTTTGTATTGTTCAACACTTATGAGTAGTCCCTTGAGGGGGTGGATAAGGAATGGTCTCAAGTACGTTCGAAACTTTCACTTTGGCGGCAATTCGTTCAACCACGATGCTTGTGATTAGAAGAAGTGCGCTAAACTGGTTATCCCTCCTCACGCGGAACTAGTATATATAGTCTCGTTCGGTTGGGGCCTGCGTGGAGGCGACTTCAGTTTCCATGGGGATGGGATGAGCGCCGCGACGCCAGCCGCCGTCGACCCAAAGATCCGGAGTACCCGTCGCATGCACCCCCGAAATTCACCTAAGACATTTAACCCTATCGAGAATAATCCCGATATTCGATAATCCACGCCATCGGCAATCCACTTGAAATTCCAATCATCATCGCTCGGCTTCGAATTAAGACATAAATTAACGACGTACACATATCTCCACAGCCCATTCCCCATATCCTCCATTGCATTTGTAATCACCACATCCATGTCAATATCCATTAATTCGTCTCGCTCCACACATTCATAATCGCAAACCTCTTAAAACCTAATATCCAATCTTGTTTACCCGACAACTTCTTATTCCAAAATACATTTCCTCCCAATCAGAAATCCAATTTATGCTTACAATAAGTTATACATTCATATATTCCATAATATATTTATAAAAAATATCAAACAACATTTTAGTTTTTGCTCAATTTCATTACATTTTTACATATTTTACTAATAATTAAAAAAATCTTAATGATTCATCAGATTATCAATATCTTTTAATACAATATTAATTGTTTCTTTCATTCCTATCACTATTAATAAGTACAATGCATGACAAACGCATTTTATAATTCCTGACTAATCATAACATACACTTTGCACATTTACTTTGTATTATCTTTGATTATTCATCTATCAATTACAGTCTTCAATTATTACTAATTGTTTACACATTTACGATTTCCTTCAAATTTTCTTTGTATACAATTTTCTTACAAATTTTCATTTAAACCACAAATTTTATTTATATTTTGTCAATTTAAATTTAGTTTCATTTACAATTTTCAAACCGAATAATGAATCCGGACTGTTCGAATTTTCTTTCTACTCAATTTTCTTACAAATTTTCATTTTAATCACAAATTTTATTTATATTTTGTCAATTAAAATTTAGTTTCATTTACAATTTTCAAACCGAATAATGAATCCGGACTATTCAAATTTTCTTTGTATACAATTTTCTTACAAATTTTCATTTT